TCCCCAGCTTCATTGCCCTTCTCTGGACCCACTCCAGCCCCTCAAGGTCTTTCTTATCCTGTGGTGCCCACAACTGACCCCAGTGCTCGAGCTGTGGCCTCCCCAGTGCCCAGCCCAGGGGCACAGTCACCTCCCTCCTCCTGCTGGCCACACTGGTGCTGATCCAGGCCAGGAGGGGCCTTCTCAGGGTAGAGAGGTAGGTCTGCACCTCGATTGTCTCAGCTGGATGGGGGACAGGTGGGGACAGAGCTGGAAGGTTTATGCCCTGTGCACCCCTGGTTTATCCCTAAAAACCTTCCCTGCTCTCCTCAGCTCAAGCCAGGGGCTCTTGTGGCCACCTCTGCTTTCCAGAGCAGCCTGTGGAGAGGGTGGCAGGAGACAAAGGGACAAAGGAGGAGTGACAAACCCCAAGTCACCCATCTCTGCTCTTCATCTGATTTTTTTCCTCCTGCCTTGCCCCTGAAGGACCAGCACGGCTGGAACCAGGGCCAGCCCCACGTCCCCTTTCCCTCTTGCCAAAATGCTCCTTATGGCTGAACCCAGGCGAGTGGGCAGATGGAGGCAGCTCCTCCTCCCCCGGGGTCATTTGTCAGGCTGGGAGGGAGACTTCACAGGCACTTCTGTGGTGCCAGACAGCCCAGTGACTCCAGCAGGATTCCAAGCCCAGCATGGGGTCAGCCCAAAGCCTTTGTGAAAGGGTTTGTTCCCATGCACACAAACCCAGCTGGCTGCACCCCGGGGGCACCGGGCAGGGGGGGGATGGCTCCAAAAGCTGGCAGCAGAATTTGGAAGGGGGAGCAGGCCGAGAAACTCACCAGCTGAGGCTGAAGGTGAGGCAGCCCACGTTGGAGATGATGTCGTTGAGGCGGTGGTAGGACCCCCCCCGGTGCTTGAAGTAGACGTTGAGCTTGGTGAACTCCAGCTGCACATCATTGATGTCGTGCAGGAAGAGCACCAGGATGCCCACGTTGTGGTACCTGGGGGAGAGCAGAGCAGGGGGGGCAGACCTGGGGGGCAGCGGCTCCATCCGGGGGGGGAAGGGACCTTTCAACCCCACCTAGTCCAACCCCCCCTGCCAGGAAGAGGGGCAGCTGAAGCTGGAGCAGGCTGCCCAGAGCCTGTCTGAGCTCAGCTGGAGTGTTTGCAGGCATGGGGCATCGACCAGCTCTCAACCTGGGCCACCACCAGCAGCAGAAGTTCACTCCTTTTACCTAGTGTGAATCTACCTTACACCTAGTCCTGATGGCAGCATCGTGCCAGCCAGAGCCCCTCAATGATCCAGACAACCAGAGCTGGCAGAGCCCAGTGTGCCAGCGTGCTGCAGGGGGGTCTGGAACCACGTGGTGGCTCAGGAGGGGTGGGACTGCTGTGGGAGCAGAGCCAGGGGAGGGTCCTCACCAGCCCAGGATCCTCACCAGCCCAGGGTCCTCTCCAGCCCCCGTGCCCATCGTGCCAGCCAGAGTCCCTCAATGATCCAGACAACCAGAGCT